CTGATGCCAGTAAGTGAAATATAGTGGCAACCATACTTTGGTAAAAACTGCTATTTGAATTTTAAACCTGCTAAGCCAATTTTCCTGTGCTTGGGACCATAACCGTTGGAGATTAACCACTGAGTTCTGTTTCTGCAAGATAGAGCCACATTCCAATGTCCAGCAGGATGTGACTGAGGACGACCCTGTGGGCTGACCCCAGATTTTAGAATATAGTCTTTAGGATTTAGAATTTAGAACAAAGGAAAATTCCTATGGTTTGAACTGTTGCAGAGCTCCCGAGCAGTCGAACAGTGCAGGGGAAGAGTTTGGAGAGACTTGCTTTGTTCATCGGGCGATGGGCTTGGGGGGAATGAATTCAAATTCTAAGCAAGGTTACAGGCAGAACTTCCTTTTTTTTTTTTTTAATTAAAGAGCCAGCCCTACTGGGGTGTTGATCTGTGAGTGCCTTGGGTGGGGCCTGGATGAGGCTGGTGGACCTATTGGGAAATGTCTTTTGTGTGAAGTGTATCATTGGGCATGTGGAGGTATTATTGATATGAGAAAATGCTAAGTAACTGATTTACTATCTGAAAAGGGATTTATTATTGGGGAAAGGGAGGGAAGAAGAGACTGAACATAAACTGTGCACCTATGGATGAGGACAATGGGGGATGGGGAGGGGGCGGAGGGTGGGGTGGGAACCTGGTAGAGGGGGGAAGAAATGAGGAATCTTTGGAATAATATGAACAATAAAGATTGATTTAAAAAATAAAAATAAAAAATATAAAGAGCCAGCTCTATGTGCACTTAGTGGTTATCTCCATGCTAGCCTTGAAAACAGTACAGTTCTATCCCATTGAAAAAGTGCACCCGGCATGGTATTGAGATTGTGAGCATATTTGGTCTCTGGCCTACAAGGTCAGACAGCTAAGTTTACCTTCATCATTCTTCAAACGGGCTAAAGCAACATTTTATCTAGGAAGAACAGCAGAAAATTCCAAACAACAGTTTGTTGCAAAATAAGGGTTTTCCTTCTCAGAACCTTTAAAAAGAACTACCTGCCCCTGAAGCAATGCAGTTGTTGTGAAGTCCACCTGCGTGTGGTGCTCTTACAGCTGTCCTGGCCAGATATTTTAATAAATCTTTGCCTGCTTTTTTTAAAAATAAATCATCAGCCTCTGGTGGTCTTATTTTGAACCCAGGGTTCGACCCCACAACATTAAGGAGGGAAGGATCTTCAGCTTCAGAAGTCTTCAGTTACTAAATGAGCACCTACTATGTGTTAGATGCCAGGGATACAACTAGGAGCCAGGTTATATTTACCCTTATGGGGCTCATGGTCCAGTGGGAAAGACAGGTAGGAAAATAAATTTTTAAATATTGTGAAAAGCACTCTAAAGGAGTGATTTAAGGGTGTAATAAGGGAACCTAATTTAATTAAAGAGTTGGGAAAGGTTTCTCATAGCTGAGACCCAAAAGAGGAACAGGTGTTAGCTCGGCAAAAATCAGGGGACCAGTGTGCCATCTGCAGAGGAAGAGCTGGGTCTGTATAGAGAAGTCACTGACAGAAGGGCCAGGATGCTGGTACCTGAGCCTGCTCTGAAATTCTGGGGATGTATTGGAGTCCCCATCAGCAGTAATGGAAGGAACAGAGGGAATGAAGGAAAGAGGGAGGGAGGGACAGATAGATGGACGCATGAATGGATGGAAGGCAGAGAAGTAGGAAGAAAGGAGAGTTGTTTGGAGGTTCAAAGAGTGATGAAAGCAAGTTAAGGTTGAAAGTTGGGAGAGACTGGGCTATTGGTCCAGAATGAGAAGGAACATGCAGTAGCTGAGAGCAGAGGGAGGCCTGGGGCAACTGTGGTTGGTGGTGCAGGAAAGCAGAGCCCACAGCTTGGGTATTCTGCAGAGCCTGGAGTTGCTGTCAGGGTGTGGGTGGCTCTAGATGTCACTTTGCTCCAACATTGATCGCACCTTTGGGGTGTCAAACATGATGCCCCCCCACACACACACACATCTCTGCTCTGTGGTCACCACCACCCTCCCACAGGCTCCAGAAGGAAACCAGCATTCCCCTCCAGGGGATGTTTCCGGGCTGGTGGGAGTCCAGAGGGGGAAAGAAGGCCCCCAAGGAAATGACCTCACCATGGGGAGAGAGCTGAACAGTCACAGAGGTCTGACTGTGGGGTGAGTGGACCACTGGGTACCTTTCCTTGATCCTTAGCAGAAGTGGACCCATTTCAAGGGGTCCCCTTCCGAGTGTGACCAGTGCCCAGCCCATCAAGACAGACTAACAGGATGGCTAAAAAGTCTCTGTTCACATCCTGCGCACCATCCAGTAGTTGGATACACAACATGTTTTTATAACTTTTTCTCCCCCATCTCATATCACATGCTCAGTACAAAAAAAAAGAAGACAAAAACACAAGGAAAATGAGTGTTTCTGCATACCTTATTTTTTCTACTTAGAACTATATTAGCATTCCCCTGAGCCAATAAATATTTGTGGCCAGGATGATTTCTTTTTTATTTTGAAATACTTTTAGACTCGAAAGTTGTAAAAAAAATAGTAGAGTTGTTCTATCCTTCACCCAGCTTCCCCTAACATTATCGTGCAATAGATCCGTGTTACCGTTAGCAACACCAGGAAATTTACATGGATACTGTTACTATTAACTAAACTGCAGACCTGACTCAGATTTCACCAACGGTCTCATTCGTTTTCCTAACTCTGGGATCGAATCCAAGCTCCCACATTGTGTTTATTCTGTCATGTCTCCTTAATCCTCTTCTACCTGACAGCTCCTTGGTCTTTGTCTTTTGTGACCTTGACCCTTTTTTGAAGAGGCTGGACAGTTACTCTGTAGAATGTCCCTTGATTTGGATTTGTCTCTTGTTTCCTCATGATTCTGTTGAGGTTATGAATTTGTTGTGTGTGTGTGTGTGTGTGTGTGTGTGTGTGTGTGTGTGTGTGGTGTTTGTGTGTGTTTTTATCAGAAGTGATGCTGATTCCTTCCCAGTGCATCCTATCAGGGGGTTTCGGTTGTCCGTTTGATTTATGACTGGGGGTGTTAACCTTGCTCGCTTAGTGAATGTGCTATGGGCTGTATTTCTTCACTGTGAAAGGCCTGTTTTTTAGGATAATCCTTGAGTGGCTGTTGGCTTTGCATCCTAGTTCTCTACTGTAATCAGTCCCTCATTTGGAGTGTAACTGGTTTTGGTTTGTACTGTTACAAAGAATGCTACACTGGCCACTCCTATTGGCACATCTTAGCACACATCTGTAATTGTTCTTAGGATAAATTCCTAGAAGTAGAATTGTTAGAGCAAAGATTATTGACATTTTTGTAAAGGCGAGGCATGCCTGGGGCAGGGCTATTTGTTTGTGTTTGTGTTTGTTTCTCCGTTTGTTTCAACCCATTTTATTGAGGTATAATTTAAATACAGGGAAGTGCACAGATTTGAAGCTTTATTTCAGTGAGTTCTGACAAATATATACATCCGTGAAACCACCAACCCAGTCACAAGCTAAAAGATTTCTGTCACTCTCCCAAGTTCCCCGATGCCCCTTGCAGTCAGTCCTCCCCCTATACACGCCCCAGGCAAGCTTCTGACCTGATTTCTATCCCTGCAGGTTAGTGTTACCTACTCTAGGATGGTCGATAAATCGGAATTATACAGTACGCCCTCTTTTATAACTGTCTCCTTTGATTCAAACTAATGTCTGTGACACTCATCGATGCTGCATGTATCAGCCATTTGTTCGTGTTTCTTGCTGAGTAGTACCCTATTGTATAAATGCACCCCAATCTGTTTATCTGCTCTCCCACTGATGGACATTTGGGCTGTCTCCAGGTTGGGGATATGATGAATAAAGCTACTATGATCGTAAGCATACCAATGGACATACGTGTTCATTTCCCTCGGGTGCACACCTAGGAGCGGAATTGCTGGGTCATTCGTAGATGTAAGTTTAACTTTATTAGACAGGACAGGGCGGGGTTATTTTCAGTTCCATTTTAGAGCACAGGCTGCCCCACGCTCGGGGGCCTTGTCCAAGAGCAAAGGGCGGGAGGGAAACAGAATTGTTGACCACCGCTCAGTGCTGCATGCGGAACGCAGCGTGCGTGTCCCCTTTAATCCTCAGAGCAGCCTTAGAAGGTGGGAGTGGGACTCCCATTCTGCAGATGTGAAAACAGAGGCTCACAAACATTCAGCAGGGCAAGATTCAAACCTGCCCCTGCTGAAACCGGCCTGGCTCAGTAGATAGAGTGTCAGCCTGCGGACTGAAAGGTCGCAGGTTTGATTCCGGTCAAGGCCATGTATCTTAGTTGCGGGCACATTCCCAGTAGGAGGTGTGCAAGAGGCAGCTGATCCATGTTTCTCTCTCATCAATGTGTCTAACTCTCTACCCCTCTCTCATCCTCTCTGTAAAAACTCAATAAAATATATTAAAACAAAAAAACAAAAACCTGGCCATGTCTGAGTCCCCGAGTCTATGTTCTTTCCCCTGGTGACAGCAGCTGATGAGCCGGGAAGGAGAGCACATATCTTACCCCCATCCACCCTAACCTACCTCCTGTGGTCCATCCTGCCCGTGGCTCTGAGGGCTGTCCCTGATGCCCAGGCCAGCCCTTGAGAGGTGAGGGTGATCTGTGTGCAGGGCCCCAGGGACTGTGCCCCTGCAGGTGGCTTTGAGCCCTCCAAGCCACAGCAGACCCCGGGGAGGGACCCACACGCCAGCCCTCTGCCACGGTGTCTGGTTTCTCCCTCCCTGAAACGTGATCCTCAGAGCCCTGATCCTCGGGGCTGGTGGGCAGCGGGTGAGGGCAGTGGGCAGGGGCCGCGTCTCCCCGGCCATATCTCAGGCCCATTAGGAGCGGGCCTGAGTGCTTTCCAAAGCTGATTAATGGCCTGCCCGTGACCTGGAATGTCATTACTGCCCGGGCCGGGGGCCCCTGCGGGGTCCTTGGGGTCTTTACTGCTAATAATAATTGATGCTCTTCGTGTGGTTGCAGGGAAAGTTCTATCTGGTCATCGAGGAGTTGAGCCAGCTGTTCCGATCGCTGGTCCCCATCCAGCTGTGGTACAAGTACATCATGGGTGACGACGCTGCCAACAGCCACTTTCTGGGCGGGGTCCTGATGGTCCTCTACAGCCTCTGCAAGGTGAGGCCCCGTTCACTCACTGCCCCTAAGGGCTGGGGGGGAGGGGAGGGGGCTTGGAATGATACCCTCACCTCTTTCAAAAACTGAGGCAAAATCCACACAACACAGAACTCAGTGACATGGAGCAGATTCACAGTGTTGTGTGCAACCAACACCTCTGTCTGGCTCCAGGACATTTTCATCCCCAAAAAGGAGCCCTGAACCCACGAAGCAGCACTCCCCATTCCTCTGCCCTCCCCAGCCCCTGGAAATCACCAGCCTCTCCATCTGTGTGGATTTGCCTATTCCGGACACAATGTGCAATTTTTAAAAAATATATTTTATTGACTTTTTACAGAGAGGAAGGGAGAGGGATAGAGAGTTAGACACATCGATGAAAGAGAAACATGTCTGGCTTCTCTCACTGAGCAGCACGTTTCCACGGTTCCTCCTGGCTGCGGCCTGTCAGGACTTCATTCTTTTCATGGTTACATCCACCCTAGTTTATTTTCTTGTCTTTTCCATTGATTTCAGATGGAGCAGAAGGGAGGTAGGAGGGAGGGAGAGAAAGAGAGAGAGAGAGAAACATCAGCCTGAGAGACGTACATCGATTGGTTGCCTCCTGTTCACGCTCCAACTGGGGCTGAGGATTGAGCCTAAAACCGAGGCATGTGCCCCTGACCGGGAATCGAACCTGCGACGCTTTAGTCCGAGGACCAGCACTCCAACCACTGAGCCAAACGGGCCAGGGCCACCCTAATTTCTTGTCCATAAAGCTCCCCACATGCTAGCCTTACGCAGAATCTTCACAGCTCTTCAGAGTGTGCACCTTCATTGCTCTCAATTGATGGGCGAGGAAGCGGAGGCTGAGAGAGAAGTCACTTGCCAGGGTCACTCAGCTAGAGATAACAGCGTGAGCGTCCAACCCAGGCAGCCTGCTTCCAAACCATGCCTCTCTTACCCCACAGCCCTCACCGCCTCTGCACGCGCTTTCTGTTCCTGCTGCATTGCACACCGTCAGCTCTGCAGTCAGTACACAGTCTTTCCTTCTCTTCATTAGTACAAATCACTTTCCCCCTTCTTGATCTTAGAGGCTCCTGGGGAAATGCTTGTGTTTTTCTTGGTCCTTCTTCCCAGCAGGACTAGTCAGGCAGTGCAGGCAGTGTCAGACCATGGGGCTTATCTAGTCTACTGATCTGATCAACTGGAAGTGGCTGATTGGAGTGCTAGATGGAGAAGGATTACGGGCGCTGGCTGGGCTCAGATGAAGAGTGTTGCGATCGATTACCAATGCCTGCCCTGGGCTTGGGAGAGGAAGAGGCAGTGTGCAATGCCATGTGTTTGCTCTCCTGGCCCAGGTACAGGGGAGGCAGGATGGAAGGCAGGAAATCCGAAACCAAGCAGAACTGGTGGGAAGGGGGGGGGGTTTCAAATGGGAGGAAGTGCCATGAAAATGCTCAGAGGCAAAGACGAGGGGTGGGGGCAGTGGGTGGCTCCGGAGTGGTAAGCGAGATCCTGTACAATCCTTGGATGCTTTTCAACCATCACCCTGCTCTCCTTCCAGTCCTTCGACATCTGTGGCCGCGTGGGTGGGCTCAGGAAAGCCCTGAAGCTTCTTTGTACCTCTCAGGTGAGTCGGCTTCATGTAGTCCTGGCCAAGGTCACAGGAACTAGGAGCCAAGAGCCAGAAGCAGGTCTCAGTGTGCTTCTCAGGGTCCACAGCTGTGTTTCTCTCTCTCTCCCTCCCTTCCTCCCACACACAGAATTACGGAGTCCGGGCCACTGGGCAGCAGTGCACAGAGGCTGGTGACATCTGCGCCATCTGCCAGGCCGAGTTCCGGGAGCCTCTCATCCTTATGTGCCAGGTGAGCAGGCCGGGCAGGGGCATCGGAGTCTGAGGCTGGGGGACCGGCAGGCCCTGCCCCGGGCATCAGTCTCAAGTGTCTTTCCCTTCACCAAACCTCGAGGCTCTGGGATGGGTCTTTGGGAACAGCGTGGTCCAGACCGGAGTCAGATCTGGGTTCTGACCTCAGCTCTGTCTGTCCTTAGCTGGGGGACCTGGAGCAGGTTACCTCGCCTCTCTGAACCTCAGTTTCAATGTCGAAAATGAAAAATTCACTCAGGCATAGTGTCAGAATATCGTGATTGTGAAACCCAACAGCGCTGCGGACCGTAGGTGGGTCATTCCACCTCCCCGAGCTTTGGTTTTCCTCATTCACAAAATGGGTATCACACCAGGGCCTACCTTGTAGGGCTAATGTTATGATTAAATGAGATCATCTCTGGAAAGAACTAAATTTGAATTACTTAGTCATAAAAGTTGTTCATATATATATATCATTATATTTACCATTTGTTTTTATTATGATTAGTTGTGGGCCACCAACCAATAGCAGTAGGTACTGGTTAGTCCCTTTCATTTCCTTCATGTATCCCCTCTCCTCCTCCTCCTCCTCCTCCTCCTCCTCCTCCTCCTCCTCCTCCTCCTCCTCCATTCTCTCCCCACCCTTTCCCCCACCCCCACCCCCGACATCAGGGGCCGAGATGTCAATTCAGCAAATGTGTATGAGTCAAGCATCCTACCAGACAGCAGGGAGGGGAGGCAGAGGGCACACAGCCCCTGTCCCCTGCTCTGGAAGCTCGCAGTCTCCCTGGGGAGGCAGACATATACATAAATAACTATGAAACAAGGCAGGCCGTGATAAGTGCTGTGTAAGAGAGATTCATGCAGCGTCCCCGGGGACCAGGGCAGATAGCGATGAGCTCGAGGTTGGAAAGGCCTTGGGGAGGAGGCATTGCCTGCAGATGAGAAGGAGAGAAGGAATCGGGAGCATATGGCTCCTCCCACCACCACCTTCCGGGGTGAGAAGACAGGAGGTGGCGGAGGGGGGGAGGGGGTCCTCTTTTGGCATCAGCAGAAATTTTTGTTTTTGCTTTTGATTTTTGGGCATTGTAGCTGGTTTGTTTTTTAATTTTTTTTTTTCGTTATAATTATTTTAAAATTGAGAATATATTTGCATGATCCAACATTCTTGATTACGGAATTCATGAGTGAGGAGTCATGACAACGGAATGCCATGTGGGCCCCGGGCGGGGTCCTGGCACAGAGGAAGGGCACGGGTGGGAAAGGCGGTCTGACAAACTCCTGATCAGGCCTGGCGTGTGGGCAACGGCCATGCCTCTGTAGCTCCTTAGCATCGACAAGTGCACGGTGGAGATGCAAGGTCACGTTACGGGAAACGGGAACTGGGTGAGGACCTTCTGTACTCGTGGCCACTTGTCTGTTAGTGTAACATTATCCCAAAAGCAAAAACCATACTAAACAACGTTTTAAAGAAGGAAAAAGGAAAGTGGTTACGGGCTCCTGCCCTTGTCCCCAGCTCCCCAGTTCCCTGAACACCCCACAGGCAATTATTGTTACCGGTTTCCTTCCTGTCTTTCCAGAGATGCTTTGTAAGCACCTATAAATACACTGAACACGTCTTTTTCAAAATGACATAAGTTGCAGCATATTCTACCCAGGCTGCATCCTGCATCTCCCCTTTTGAACTTGATACTCTGTCTTAAGAAATTGCCCCTTACTTGCCTATCACCCTGCTTTTCGGATAGACCCCGATGTGTTTAACCCTTCTCCTCTGGGTGGGCACTGAGTAGCGGATAATCTTTCGTTGTTACAAATGTGACAACTCCCGTGGGAGTTCAGAAATGGGGAGACTTGTAGCACCTTCCTGGGCCCATGGTGTTGACTAAATGAATTAATTCAAAGGAAGCATGTAGAATCACACCGGGGACGTGCTCAGCGTTCAATAAATAATAGCTCTGCCCTAGCCAGGTTGCTCAGTGGTTAGAGCATCGGCCCACACTGGGGAGTCCCAGGGTTCATTTCGGTCAAGGGCACGTACCTTGGTTGCAGACTCAATCCCCGGCCCCGGTTGGAGCGTGTGCAGGAGGCAACCAAGTTATGTGTCTCTCTCACATCCATGCTTCTCTCTCTGTGCCTCTCCCTCTTCCTTCCACTCTCTAATAATCAATGGGGGGAAATATATATCAGCTCTTATTGGCACGCCTTCCATTTCCCACATGTGCGAGCTCTCGGTGGGATAGGCTCCTGGTGGCGGCCTCACTAGGGCAGAGGTTATTGCTGCATTGCCCTCCATAGAGTGTATCCGAGGGCCGAGTGTGACTCGAACCTCTCGCTCCCCCCCGCTGTGTTATCAAGCCTTTTTTTTTTTAAACTTCTTTATTGATTATGGTATCACATAATTGTCCTCACCTCCCCATTCCCATCCCAAACGCCTCCCCACTTTGCCAATCGGACAGGTGACTAACACTGTCTCGGAGCAGGTTTAATTTGCATTTCCCTAATTATGAGCATCTTTTCATGTGCTGCTGAGCCATCTGCATTGCCTTCGCAGCAGCCACAGTGAGTGTTTGGGCCTGATGTCAAGGTGAAAGGCTTCCTTCTTCCTCTCTAGCAATCTCTCCAGGCCCTCGGCTGTTTGTCTCTTTCCCTTTTTCCTCCTGGTACCCTGCTGTCTCCCCGAAGCTGGGTAAGAATTCCCGAAGCTGGGTGAGAATTCCCGGAAGAGAGACAAAAAAAAAACTATTGCCAGGGACCTGGGAGCCACACCACAGCTAGTGGTGGTTGGAACCCACCAACAGGTTGAGCACATGGTTCAGGCTTGCTTTGCTGGTGAAAGGGCCTTGTTAATTCCCAAATGCATTGGATGTCTGAGTGAAATGTTTCTTTCTTAATAAATGCTTCCCTGACTTCCCTTCCCTAGACTAGTTCATGCTCTGGATTTATGGCTTCATAGATCCCTATGTTTTTCCTTTGTAGCACTTATCCCAGTTGTCAGCTAGTAGCTGATTAGGCTGCTGGTTGTGCAAGGTCTGTCTCCTCTTTGTCAAATTATAAGCAACTTGAGAGTGATAACCATGCCTATCTTGTGTAAATGCAGTCACAGTACTGACTTAGTAAATATTGGATGGATGGATGGATAGGTGGGTGGGTGGATGGATAGATGGATGGATGGGGTAGATGAAATGTGATGGATGATTGGGATGAACATAGATGGTGACCAGGTGCAGGGGTGGGTGAATGAGTGTACAAAGATGGGTGGATAGAGTTAAAAGTGTGTAGGTAGCTGGGTGATTGGGGAAATGGATAGACAGATGGGGGAATAGGTGAGTGGATGGATGGGGGAATAGGTAGGTGGATGGGGAACTAGATGGGTGGCAGGACGGATAGTTGGCTAGATGGAAGGATGGATCCAGGGATGCAGAGCTGGATGCAGAGCCCACTAGGCTAAAGGATGATCCTGTCTCCCCTTCCAGCCTGGCATCGCGAGACAGAGAATAAAAAATTGAATGTAATCATAACGATTACTGAATATTCGCCAGCACTTATAAAATACTTATTATTGGCCAGGCACTGTTCCGAGTGTCTTATTTTTTCTTCTCTTTTTACAGAACATTTTGTTAAGACTTTTATATTATTGCCCCTACACTCTTTATTTTGAACATTTTAAGCCTACAGAAAAGTTGAAGGATATGGCAATGAACACCCTTTTATCCTTCACCCAGATTTACTAACCATTAACATTTTACTGTGTTTGCTTTTCTTGATATAAATTTATCCCCCTAAACCTGTTGAGAATAAGTTGCTGACATCTTGATTCTTCATCCCTAAATATTTCAGCATACATCTCCCAAGAACAAGGACATTCTGTCCCATATCCACAATTCCACTAGCACATCCCAGAAATTTTAAATTGATCTGAAATCCCAATATTCAAACTTTCCCATTTGTCTTCAAAACACTCTTCATAGTTAGGGTTCCCCTTTCCTTCCCCCATTCAGGATCCAATCAAGAATCCTATACTGCATTTGATTCTCACATCTAAGTGCTTTCAATCTTCCTAAGGGGGGAGCACTGTTATCCCCATCTTACAGATGAGGAAACTGAGGCACAGGAGGTTAAATCACTGGTCCAAGTTAAAGCCAGGAAGTAGCGGAACTTGTTAAGTTTCCAGCATCCCTGTGTTTCCCTTCATCTCTGTGGTCTGTTCTCCACCCAGCTGTATTTTTTATTATCTTAAGTTTTACATATGTCCCCTTTTCCCCCCAATTGACACCCCCTCTCCCACAACTATTTTTACCCAGGTAAGCCCCCACCACCCAGTACTGATATGCACACATACAAGTCCTTTGGTTGCTCTCTAACCATTTGTCTCTGGGCCTATTTTTGTTCATCAAATTATGTAGATCATTATATCTCACATATGAGTGACATCATGTGGTGATATTTATCTTTCTCTGACTGCCTTCCAAAAGGATCTTTTAAAAATTCCAATCATGGCAAGTCACTCCTCTGCTCAGGGCCCTGCCCTGGCTCCCTGATTCTCTCAGAGGAAAAGCCCAAGCCCTCGAATTGGCTCACAAGGCCCTGTATAATCTGCACCACCCCATCAGCTCTCTGATTTCGTCGCCCCCTCCCACCTCCCGCCGCCAAGCTCAGCCACACCGCCCTCGCTGGCCCTCCGGCACCCCGGGCACTCCTGCCTCAGGGCCTTTGCACGGCTGTTTCCTCTGCCTGGCGCGCTCTTTTCCCAGATGCCACCGGGGCTAACGCCTCACCCTCCTGCAAGGTTTACCCAAATGTCAGTATCTCAGTGCCGTCCTCCCAGGAGACCCTGTTTAACATTGCATACCCCACCCCCACCCTCACCCCCACCCCCCAAGCATACCCTAGGCCCCCTTCCCTGCATCTCCATCCTGTGCCTGTGTCCCCTGGTTATGCTGATATGCACACATTCTCTACGTTTTAAAGATTCATTTTGCCAGCTGTCTCCTCAACCGGAGTGCGAGCTCCGTGAGGGCAGAGCTGTCTGTTTCGCTGGCTGCTGGGTCCCCCGCACCTCGGACCGAGGTGGGCTCAGAGTTGGGGGGCGCCCGGGTAAGCGCCCCGGTGGCCCCGATTGCTGTTCCCACAGCACGTGTTCTGTGAGGAGTGCCTCTGCCTCTGGCTGGACCGCGAGCGCACCTGCCCGCTCTGCCGCTCCGTGGCCGTGGACACCGTGCGCTGCTGGAAGGACGGGGCCACGTCGGCGCACTTCCAGGTGTACTAGCCCCGGAGCTCCGGCGCGCCCAGGGAGAGGACGGCGGGTCCCTGTGGCCGGGTCCGGCTCCGAGACCTTCCTGGAAAACAGGCCGCACGCTCTCAGCGTCCTGCCCCCTGCCTCCTCCCCCTCTTCCCCTAAAGCTTTCCGTTCTCCCCACCCTCTCCGGCCTCCTGTGTTCCTTGGCTCAGTGCATGCATCCGTCCCTTCACATGGGGAAGCCCCCGAACTCAGACGGTCTCTGCCCAGATAGGTCTCCCATCCCCTCCTCCTCAAGGAACCGGGACTAGACAAGGTCCCGCCTGTGGGTTATTTTACTCAAGAGAACCAAGCACCTGAAGCTGCATGCTAAGGAGGGGCCTAGAGGTCACCGCCCGCCCACAGTGGCCCAGGTCTAGGTGAGGGTCACGGTGAAGTCTTTCCCAAACTCAAATGCCCAGCCGCACCTCGGAGTGAGCCAGGCATGGCGTCAAGCATCCCGCCGGTACAGCTTCCATTGTACCGCGGAGGAGACGTGGCACAGGGCTCGGTGTGGTCACCGCCTGGCGTCAGAGCCTGCGCTTGCCCACCACATGACCCGCTGCTCAGACCCTGCGGCATGCGGCCCAGCAGACAAGGTTTCTTAAAACCACAAGAGGAGACTTTGATGGGCATGGGTGGCCCAGGTGCGTAGCTTATTTAACTTGGACTGCATTGAGAAGGAAAGACTTGGTCCTGAAATTGCTTCTGAAGATCTGTACACAGCCATCTTCTGCTGCTGGTTTTTCACGTCACGTCAGGGAGAAGCCCCTGTCAACAGCCCCTGAGGACATTCCCTCTCCCCTGGTCACCTCCAGAGCAAAAGGGACAGTCCATGTTATGGATCTGTACACAGCCAGGGTGGCAGTGGAGAACATGGCAGCCACCAGGCTCCCGCAATCTCTAAGTGAGGGCTACCAATCTGTGTGAGGGCTACCAATCCTGCTTGGAGGTCTGGGAGGAGATGGCACGGGAGGTCATGTATATGCCACTGGAACCCGGCCTGTCCTACCCTTCTCCCACCCCTATCCTCTCACTGGCCACCCCAGCCCAGCGGGCTGGTACCAGCGGCATTTCAGAGCAAGCCATCTGGGTGGCCAGGGGGCAGACTAGCAAGAAAGCCGGAGGGGAGCTGGTGGGAACCTTGCTGCCCCCTGCCCTCGGCCAGTGTGAGCGTGCCCACCCCGTCCCCAGCAGATTCCGGGCACGGAGCCCTGGGCGCTGTGGAGCCAGCACCCGCTCTTCTCCCTGACGTGCCCGGCTCTTTCCTGATAGCCAGCGAGACATCCCTTCCAGGCCTGCATGGCATCTTTCAAGCTCTGTTACTATGGCGATGGCCACGCTGTTCCAATCCCACTTGCCTGGATAAGCAAGTCAGAAAGGGAAGTTGGGGGCAGCAGAGCCCAGGGGAGGCAGCCTCTCTGTTCCCTCCGCCTGGAGGAGGGCCCCCGGGGAAGGAACACAGGCTTCTGCAGCTGCTTTTTCTCGGGAGGAGGTCCCTGTCTGCAGGTGCCAGCACAGAGGCTCGGGACACGGGAGCTGGAGGAGGTGTTAAAGTGATAGCATGTGACAGAGCAGACAGAGCCGTCTGTTCATTTTATTTCATTATATTTTGTTTTTAATTTATTGGGTGAGTTGGTTAATAAAATTACGTGGGTTTCCCTTGTACGGTCCTAGAATACATCATCTGTATATCGTGTTGTGTGTTCACCACCCCGAGCCACGTCTCCTCCCATCACCATTTAGCTCCCCTGTACCCTCTTCTGCCTTCCCTGCCCCTCTCCTGCTGGTGATCGCCCTTCTGTCGTCTGTGTCCGTGAGTTGATTTTTTGGTGTCTGCTTAATCCCTTCACCTTGTTCACCCAACCCTCAGCCCCTCCCCTCTAGCAGCTGGCCGTCTGTTCTCTGCCTCAGAGTCTGTTTCTGTGTTGTTTGCTAGTTTACTTTCTAAGCTCTGCATGCCTTTGGGAAATCACTTCCTCTCCCTGTAGCCATCTCCAGAGTGAGGAAGCCTAGCCCCATGGTCTGCAAACTGCGGCTCTCGAGCCACATGCAGCCCCTTGAATGTGGGTGGCTCTTCCACAAAATACCACGGCCCGGGCAAGTCTATGTTGAAAAAGTGGCGTTAGAAGAAGTTTACGTTTAAAAGATGTGGCTCTCAAAAGAGATTTCAGTCGTTGCACTGTCGGTATTTGGCTCGGTCGACGAATGAGTTTGCTGACCACTGGCCTAGTGTATCATCTACCGGGACCAGGGAAACTGATGATGCCAATAGCTGGTGAATACAACACTGGTTTGTCACTTACACTCCTGCCACGCACACACAAAACTCTGACAGTCTGCAAATAACCAGACACATCCCTGACGCTGTAAAGAGTCGCCTGTGGCCCTGGCCGGTGTGGCTCAGTCGGTTGGGCATCGTCCCGTGCACTGAGAGGTTCGATTCCCAGCCAAGGCACATGCCGGGGATTGCAGGCTCGATCCCCGGGGAGCGGGCATATAAGAGACAGCCGATTGATGTTTCTCAAGTCGGTGTTTCTCATTCTCCCTTCCCTCTCTCTCTAAAAATCAATTTAAAAAAATTTTTTTAAGTGTCAGACACACGTGGGAGACATTCAGGGGCAGGTGGGATGACTGAGCGTAGGATTTTATTTATTCATCCCCTACCCTCCAGGGAAAACCCTGTCTGCAGGTTTCCTTGGGGAGAGGGGGGGCGCGGATTTCACTTCAGCCCTTGGGAGGAAGAGTGGCCAGTGCAGGGTTTTCCAAATGTCAGGCCACATGTGCTGCCCGGCACCAGAGTCAACACGGGCACACATCACTCTCGGCAGAGAACAGTGCCTCTGCCTTCCCGTCTTTGCTCTGCAACTCCTTCACTTTGAACGGAATTCACCTGAGTCAGATGGGAGTACCTGCCCTTCTTTTTGAGGACTCACTGACTGGAGTCCCAGGAAGTCCTCGGAGACGGCCTCTTGAGGCAGACTCTCGGGCATAAGGAATGAGGGGACGAGAAGGCAAGCTTTGGGCCTGGGTGTCCCAGACCTTCCGCAGAGGAGAGGGGGCGGCACCAGGAGACCTCCAGGCTGCTGAGCCTCGGTCCGAGCAGGACCTGTAACGCGATGCTGGAGTCTTTCCGTGCTTTTGCTCTGGGCCAAACAGAGCCGCCTTTGGTGTTTTGAATGTCCTCCCTACGTTCCCTTCTGCCAATAAATAACGTCTGTCGGCCAAACTTACCTTCCTGGTCTTGAGTCTCCGGTCGCCTCTTGAGCCAGGTGGAACTGTGTTGGGAGAAATGCAGAGAAGCACTTGGTGCAGTGGGTGGCATCGGACGTTGGTTTTTCCAGAGCAGCCCCATTGAGTGACACATGATGTATTAAGGAAGCGCTTCCGGAGAAAGCAGTAAGGGGATGAGCGGAACGGGGAAAGGCCAAGCAAGAAGGCGCCTTACAAGAAGGCCCGGCTCCCGGTTTGGGGCGGGGCCTTAAGAGTACCAGGTGCATCTCAGAGTCATCCCACCCTGAGGTCTTTGTGACCCACACTCAGCCCTTGGCAATGGGTTGATTAGGGGTACGGGGAACCTTTCCGTCTCCACAAGGAGGCCCCCAACCCTCTGAAGGTGCCAGGTGCCACAAAGGAACAGGACGGAACACAGAACTGGTAGAAGGGATATGGATGTGCCCAACAGCGGTTAGCTATATAGGCTGTATGGACCTAGAACATATACAATGAGTGGCCAAATTATTATGATCTCTGAACGCATAATAATCTGGCCACTCAGTGTATATCCCATAGAATAAAAGGCTAATATGCAAATTGTCCCCTCGACCAGGAGTTTGACCAGCAGGCAGACCGGCCAACCACCCGTGTCCCCTTCCCCTGGCCAGGCTGGCCAGATATCAACTATGCATGAATTCATGCATCGGGCCTCTAATATACACACTAAGTGACCAAATTATTATGCGTTCAGAGATCACAATAACCTGGCCACTCAGTGTAGGCTGATTTAAGGAGAGCTTTTCCATTGATGGATTATGATGGATATTTACATTGTAAATTACAGCTGACCATTAAACAACATGGCAGTTTAGGGTGCCAACCCTCCCCCTGTGCAGTAGAAAATCTACCTGTAACTTTTGATCCCCCCAAAAAACTTAACTACTACTAGTCTACTATTGACTAAAAGCCTTACTGATAATGTAGATAACCGATTAATACATATTTTGCCCATTATATATGTTATATACTTTTTTCTTTTTTTTTTTTTTTTTTTTTTTTTTTTTTAAATATATTTTATTGATTTTTCACAGAGAGGAGGAGAGAAGGATAGAGAGTTAGAAACATCGATGAGAGAGAATCATCGATTAGCTGCCTCTTGCACACCCCCTACTGGGGATGTGCCCGCAACCACGGTACATGCCCTTGACCGGAATCGAACCCGGGACCTTTCAGTCTGCAGGCCGACGCTCTACCACTGAGCCAAACCGGTCCCGGCATATATATGTTATATACTTTTTTCTTAAAGAAAGCCAGAAAAAAGACAGTTATTAAGAAAATCAAAAGGAAGAGAATATACATTTAAAATATTGGGGGGAAAAAACTTCTGTGTATAGGTACACCTGCTCGGTTCAAAACTAAGTTGTTCAAGGGCAATGGTAACAAGTGACAACTCACACCTCTGGGGGCAACATTGCAAAACCACCATAACATATCACCAGGCAGAACTTTCTGGTTGCAGTTACTTGAAAACCAACTCAAATGTGGCTTCAATAAAAGGACTTAATTTGGTTCCTATAACAATATGGGCTTCAGGTACAGCGAGATTCAGAGACTCAATATTAAAATCATGTCTTTCTGGCACAATGAGCATGGCTCAGTGGTTGAGCTTCGACCTCTGAGCCAGGAGGTCACGGTTTGATCCCCAGTCAGGTCACATGACCAAGTTTCGGGCTCTGTCCCCAGTGGGGGCATGCAGGAGGCAGCCAATCAATGAT